AAGTAATTACATAATGAATTCCTGAAAATTATGTTCAATGTTTCATTTGCTACAGACCCTTTTAAGTGACTCTCTACTTGAGCTGTAAATTTCTAAGCTAGCACTTGAATTCATGTGAGTGAAAGATGGTGTTTCCTCCAGAGGATGGTTCACACTCAAGAAGAAAGGGAGCCTGTTATTCTGTGGTTATGGTTATTGTTCATATCAGAATGACATCCTCCTCATGGTCTGTAACACAAAAAATAGGTTCGACGAAGTGATAGGGATTAATGGGATCAGAAGCAGAGATTTGAAATGACTGCAGAATGAAGTTCAGCAACGTGTGCTACAGTGGTGTTGAGGAAATCCTTGTGAGTACAAAGGCTATGGATGGTGCAGGGCTGTGCAAAGAGTAACTAATTGAGAACTTCACCACAACAAGCCTTGTCAAATAATTGATATTTTTTCAGCACTGTTGCCAGATTTTCAACATAAGCTTCCATGCATTTACTGGTTGAGCCAACACTTCCTAGTTGAAGAGGACCATGTGCTTTGATATCCTTCACCTATCAGTCAAAAATCTTTCCTGCAAATGAAGCCCTACATAAAGACCTTCCATGACCCAGATTAAGAAATCTTAGGGCCTTTCCTGTCCTTGGTGTGACTGTGTGTATTCTTTCACTCACTCTTTCAGTTGGCCTCTATGATATTATGCTCCACCCACTTTGTGGCCAGGTTTGATGCAAGTTGAAAATTCCCCCAATTAATCTTTCTCTAACTTTTTCTGTAATAGCATAGAGAATATGAATGAAAGAGGATGTTTTAGATTAGTAATATTAATTATTAGTTGGAAGCAAATAAAGACTTTGACAATTCAACAAAATTCAAAAACTCCTATAACTGTCATGATTCCTCGTGATAACCGATGAATATTTGCATTCACACGCTTTTTCCCATCTGCCTAATCTGAAGGAGTTATTGCACCAAGTATTAAAATGCCGAATTATCTCAGTAAACATGAACCTGGAGCAATTTTAATATTAAGTATCAGTAATCATTGGAATGGATGGAGAAAAACAACAAAAATTAATACTATGCTAATCTATTCTGCAGCAAATGATTATTTTCTCTTTTTCTCAATCCTGTTTGCAATACACAGCAAAACATTGATACACTCCAGAATTGACACATTTACCTTTTAGTGCTTTAGATGCCAAAGTCCTGAGTTTGGTGTAGGTACTTTTATGTCAATAAGGTGATGCAACATCCATAAGTATTAAGTCACTTAAGGAATGTATTTTTCACTGGATACATTACTGTTATTTTAAGCTATGTAACACGTTAGGATTCAGCTATTGTGGAATCTATCGTATTTATATTGCAGAGTGTAATTTGCAGCAACAAAGGACAGCACATGTACAGATTCAGGTCTAGATATCTTTTTAATAAGCTGTCATCTGAACTAGAATTTGAAGGCAGCTTGCATTACTGAACTGAATAGTTTGTGACTGGTCATCTACGTAATATCAGAATGCCAAGGTACTATACAAGTTGAAATGATTCTGAAATACCATAAATGACATTAGTTATTCCTATTAGGAAAACTTAAAAAGAAGGCTTGACGTATGATTGTGTAGCAACTCCTCAAAATTATTCCAATTATATTTCAATACTTAATGTAGTAAATGTTTGTGATTTTTAATTTCTACAAAAGTGTGGTCTACTAAGTACTACCATTTGCTAAAAAAAAACTTTTCTAAGCAAGCAATACATCACAGATCAACATTTAAAAGTTGATTTCATGTTAAAGGCAAAGGAAGGCCTGGAAGGTGTTTTATTTCTAATCAGCTAGGTTGCTTAGTGATGTCACTAATAGATAGCTGCCTCATTTAATTACTAATTGTAAACTGTTGGTTTTGGGAAGATGTTTCTGGTTAAACACCCAGTATCCTCTTAAAAACCAAAAGAACTGCGGGTGCTGTAAATCAGGAACAAAAACAAAGTTGCTGGAAAAGCTCAGCAGGTCTGGCAGCATCTGTGGAGGAGAAAACAGAGTTAATGTTTCGGGTCCGGTGACCCTTCCTCAGAACTGTTCTGAGGAAGGCAACAGATGCTGCCAGACCTGCTGAGCTTTTCCAGCAACTTTGTTTTTGACCCAGTATCCTTTGTTTGCTGCATACTGTGATTAGATATTTTTGAGTTTTCTCTGAATGTTAGAATATTTTCACATTCATCAAATTCTGATATATTTTCAACTTTCATTTTTTATGTCTGTGATGTAACTTTTTAGTCTATTCCCAGGCAGATTTTGATGGCTAAGGTTGCCGTTAATGTGGCAACAAAGACCTTGAAATAGAGATAGTAGACTTTGGGCTTTAAGGCTCATCCTTCAGGAACCAGCATTTTGAAGGGGCCTTTCCTTGAGTAGATGCGTGACCACCGGATTCATACGTTGGGTCTCTTAGTAATGCAAACATGACAGTGAGTGTGAAAAGAACAGGAATGGAGCTTGCTTATGTCTGCTCCGATCATGTGTAGTTCAATCAGAAAAATCTTTCCTCCTGTTGAACCCCTGCACAAGGACCTCCCCATGACACTGCTTAAATATCTTGGGGTCTTTCCCACCTGTAGTGTGATTGAGTGAAATAATGCACACTCTTTCAGTTGCCTGATGTGATACTCTGCCCTAATTTCAGTTAAGAAAGAAAGGCTTCCATTTATATTTGCCTTTTTTTTTGTCCTTGACATGCCGTATGCTTTACAGCCAATGAAATACTTGTGAAGCATAGCTGCTGCAGCAATGCAGGAAGTGTAGCAGCCAAGCTGCAGAAAATAGATTTCAAGACAGCAATATGACAATGACCAGATACCCCTCTCTTTTTTTTTTTGCTGCTGTTGATTGAATGATACCTTTAAAGGCTCAAGACACTAGGAATATCCCCTTCAAAATATTTCCATGGGACCTATTTTTAACTCACTTGAGAGGTTTGACAGGGCCTCAGTTTAATATCTTGTCTAAAAGACAGTACCTCTGAAACTGTAGCACTCCCTCAGTCTGGTACCTTTTTAAAGAGTGCAACATTCCCTATACTGTGCTGAAATATCAAGCTTGATTTGTGTTCAAGCACTGAAGTAGACTTGGGCCAATGACTTCTGACCGCCAGAGCCAAGAATGCAACCCATAAACTACAGAAATCATACAGCTGTTTACGCAAACATTTTCTTCCCCACTTTGAAAATAATTGAAAATCTGATTGTTAAACCAAGATTTTGGGGGAAAGAAGCTCAACATGATGCTTTAAGTTTTCAAGACAAAATAATGGTGAGTATATCCAGGGTCTTCACTAATATGTTTACATTTTTGCTATTGGAGAAGATCAGTTTTTTTTAAAAAATGTCCTTTTAATTTTTAACCTGCAAAATGGTTATGAAATTTGATTTAAACAAAGTTTTTTAGGTTATAATTTTTTTTATTTATGTGAGATACCTAGTGGAGGATAAGTCAGGCGAGCTGTTGGATTTCAAAGTGAGGCAACCACAGATATGATCATCCTGTCTTAAGTCAAATATTTGTCTTGTTCACCGATCCATTGCAAGATAGCAGATAATGGTGTCATGTTATGTTATTAGGTTCTAAGCTCAGGCTGTGAAACATTGCCAGACCCTCGGTTCCGAAGTACTTCAAGATTCTATCCACCAACTGGCCAGTTTACATTTGTATTGTAAACCATAATCTGTATTACCTGAACAGTAAAAGTCTAATTTTGAGACTTAACTGCAAAATCTAGGCCTGGATTTTTTAAAATGGTTTTTTGGAGGGATGAAGGAGGTGAAATGGAAATTTGATTGGTCAGCTCATGTCTGTCCTGACTGTCCCAGACATGGCTTTCAAAGGCTGCTAATTTTGGGGCAATTGAAGACCCCAAGCCCAGACAGACAGACATGTGCATGTACATACCTGTCAAGCAAGTTACCCTTGTTCCTCACTTGGGAAACCAGGCACCTTTCGTGTCCGCCACGAAGGCGGTAATTAGGGAGATGGGGAATTGAGGCCCAAAAATAGCTGTGAATTGATCACTTTAGGGTCTTAATTGATTGCCTAAGTCTCCAATGGACCTTCTCGTGCAAAAGTTAATTTGACTGGCAAGAAATCTCTTAGGGCCGACCCACCCAATTATTACCCCTCCTCACCACCTCTCAAAGATTTTGCCCTCGGTTTCTATTAGTAAGATCAGGTTTAAAGAGTTGTATATGAGCACTTCTCAACACCAATCAATTATTTGTTTTTTTTCCTGTTTTATTGTAAAAGAAAACCTTGCAAAAACCATATACCACACTTTAACATGGTTGCATCAAATATCATCTCTACACAAAATTGACTTTCTTGTGAAAGTCCATTTTTTGTTCGATTGTACTCTGATATCACCTAATCAGACAGTGCCTTTTATAATTGTTTTATTACAGGGTAACAATAGAATGCATTAATCTTGTACTGTCATTTTCACTTCATTTTGTTACACTACCAAACTAATTGAGCCTTAATCCTTGCATGTTCCTCAAAAAAAATCCTTTATGGGTACAGTTGTGTGTTTGAAGACATGAGATATTTTGTATCAGTTGTTTATGGTCTATAAAATATACAGTCCTACTTCTGTATATGTTTATCAAGCACAACATAACTGAACTATGGGATTATTTTGAAGCTTTTTAGTAGGCAATCTAAGCTAGAAGCTCAGCCCATAAGAAGACTTTATGATCTGTTATCTTTATGCTTATCCAATATATAGCATGAACCACTTTTAAAATGGACCAATAATATTCTAAAACTAATCTTGACAGTTTTATCATATTTAGATGATACAATGTTGAATAACCTTCATATAGTATTATAACCTCATATTCTAAGCTCCAATAAATAATTGACACCCTTTTTTTTAAGTAAGTGGATTGTGTATTTTCTCACTTGTAGTTTTATTTTGTTTTCCTTTGGGGTTATCTGTTCCTTTTTTTTTCCGCCTCAGGCGAAATGAAGAAGTTACACATATCAAGATCCAGAATACAGGGGACTATTATGACCTGTATGGAGGTGAAAAGTTTGCAACATTGGCAGAATTGGTTCAGTATTACACAGAGCAACAAGGTCTCTTACGAGAGAAGAATGGAGACCTAATTGAACTGAAGTATCCTCTGAATTGCCAAGATCCAACATCTGAAAGGTGCTGTATTTCTTGTATTTTTTTTTCTCTCTGCAACCCTTGACTCCTTTGGCTAACAGAATTGGTAGGCAGTCAATATAAATATTTGCCATTGTTCTTTCTCGATCAAATTGCAGTGAGTATTTTGTAACATCATTTTTTTTTAAAAAATTTCTATTTATTCTTGGATGTTGGTGTCACAGACAAGGTCAATGATTCATTGCCCATCCCTAATTTCCTTTGAGATGTTGTTGATGAGCAGCCTTATGGAACTTCTCCATTCTGTGTGGTGCAGATACTCCCACAGCATTGTTAGCTAGAGTGAAGCAGGATTTTGGCCCAGTGATAATGGTACCACAACATATTAACATGTCAGGGTAACGTGTGACATGGAGGCAACTTGCAGTTCATTGTTCCCTTGTAGCTCTAGGCAGCAAAAGTCATGGATTTGGAAGGTGTTCTTCAAGAAGCTTAAATGAGTTGCTGCAATGCATATTGTAGATGCACATACTACAGCCACTGCAGGCTGGTTGCGGAGGAAGTAAATATTTGTTGTGATGAAAGGTGTGTCACCTAAGCAGACTAGTTGGTTGGTTTGTCCTTGATGGTTTTGAGCCTCTTCAGTGTTATGGCCAAAAGAATCAGGAGCAGGACTGGGCCATTGCTCCTTTTGTCCACACAATCATTAACTAAGATCATGACAGATCTGATTAGTCTCCATTCCTATCTACCTAACAATAACCTTTTCAGTCCTCTTGCTTATCAATAATTTCTCTTCCTCTGCCTTAAGAATATTCAAAGACACTGCTTCCACCACTTTTTTTTGAGGATGAACCTTCCAAAGACTTGTGACCCTGTTGATGGAGGAACACACATCAAGGCAAGAAGATTGTATATATTCATTATGAACCGATCATAGGACCGTATTTGCATCACTGAAACTGTCGTTTTTGTTTGAGTACTCTTGAGTACTCAATGGAAGCGAGAGTGTTGCACCACAAACTGGAGACCAAAATCAACGCCTTCAGAGATCCTGGGTGATCTTGGCAAATTTTCTGATAGTCCTCACCATGGGGTCAGAGAAACAAGGGCCAAGGATATAGTTGTATGTCATTTTTTTTAAACAACTATTGTTACATAAAATAGAAAACTTATTTTGATGACACAATTGATAAGCAGAACATGGGTGGAGGCAGCAAATTTGTAAATAGACTTCAAGCCTAAAGCACATTTGGTTCTAATTTTTCCATTGGCGAATGTTAGTGCCAATGATGAGGTTTTATTCAAGGATTCTCTAACAACTTGACGACAGCAGATGGATAAAGATCTTCATAATGTGATTTGCAGCTGATGTTTTTTAAGTTGAGGATTAAAATGTCAGCAATGTAATGAGGGATTTTAAAGAGGAACTGTCTTTGGCTTCTGTATTTTTCTTCCACCATAACTTTTAGGTTTTTAGTTTTAGAATTCTGGTGGCAGGAAATAATCTTTATAGATCTCTATTTCCAATTACCATTAACTATTTGATATACCAAGGTGTAGAGCTGGATGAACACAGCAGGCCAAGCAGCATCAGAGAAGCAGGAAGGCTGACGTTTCAGGCCTAGACCCTTCAGAAATGGGGGAGGGGAAGGGGGTTCTGAAATAAATAGGAAGAGAGGGGGAGGCGGATAGAAGATGGATAGAGGAGAAGATAGGTGGAGAGGAGACAGACAGGTCAAAGCGGCGGGGTTGGAGCCAGTAAAGGTGAGTGTAGGTGGGGAGTTAGGGAGGGGATAGGTCAGTCC